TTTTCAGAAGGGTACATTAATCCTGTCAAGAGGCTTCCACTTTTGACATGACAAAGATCTGGAAGTTGTCCAACTAGGCCATTCTACATGAAAGGGCTGTCAGCAGAGAGCTTATTATCTCAAGAATTATGCTTTTTGTTCTTGGCCTTCAGACAGGAATTCCCGAGAGGGCCACTTTACTCAGTTGTGGAAGTCAAGGCTTGTGTCAGAGCGTACATGTTCATTTATTTGTTTATTTTTTTCTTGAGAGGAAATTTGTTTGACTTAGAATATTGTGCTATTAAGTAGCCAAAACATGTCAGATGAGATTGAAGCATTGGTAGTGTATGGCCGTTTTTTCCCAGAGTTTCAGGGGGGCAGTACGCTGAAATGGAGTTGTTCTAGCATCATCTTCCGGGAAGTGGAAAAGAAAAAAATTCTACAGGGCAAAAATATAGTGTCCATTTTTGCACGGGCTAAACATTAAAAAAAGAATAAGAGTGGCTCCTTTTTTTCTCTTGATTTGCCTGACTCATTTTCCAAGGTGGTTGCTGGTTGTTTGAAACCAAGAATAGTCCTATTAAACTTTGCTTGGCTCGTGACCAAAACTGTCTAACTCAAGGTTGAAATTTTTTGGATTTTTCCAACCGAATTGAGAATTCAATGTGATTGAAGTGCCGTTCCTGTTTGGAGTGGAGGGGAGAGATTTCAAGAGCTTTTAACTTCCTCATACGTACGGTGCCCAGGACTAACTAAATAGTCTTCTGGTTAAATTTGAAATCCATTATTCTTTTTTCTTTTTCTGTTCCCAGTTTTACTTGAATTCCCTTTTGAGCTGAGACTCCAACAAAGAGGAAGTCTCACTAGGGAAGCATTTAGACTGAATTTCTCGGGTACCAAGGTGAGGCAACTTGTGAATCCGCCCTGAGTGTTAGTGATTCCAGAGGTAAAAAAAAAATGGCAAGAGCAAACAAAAATGCACTGGCATTGATCACGACCATCCTGTCAACAGAAATATTGGATGGATTATTTATTCGTCACCAGGGTGAAGCACTTATGACACTGAGGGCAAATATCCATCCCCTGTAGATGAGGAGAGGGCAAAATGTCTGGATTTATAAAACAAACAAGGCAGTCCTGTAGTGTGCAGAGACCGTTGTGTGCAGACAAGTTGTTGGTGTTAGGCAAACACCGCGAGATTAGAAAGCTTTTTACCTGGTTACATGGGTATGGCTGTTCCTTGTCCAGGTCATTTTTCTACCATACATGCACTTGTGAGGGTTTTGGGGATGATTTGGGATTGGTTAATGAGATTCTGAGTTCTGCTACAGAAAGGTCCGGTTATGTAAAGAGAATAACATGTATTGTGACAGTTGTGTGATGGGTAAAAAGGCAAAGTGTTTGATTCTAGGAAAAAACAGAGTCGTGCTTCATGAGGTCAAATTGGAATAAAAGTCCTCTTGGCTGTTACAAAAAAAAAAAAGGAAGTGCGTGAACCAGTCGGTGAAAGGTTGACTTAAGTTTTGATTTTACTTCTTCAACTGGAACTTGAATGTACATGTATGTGTGGTGAATGAAGAGTTGGTCATGTGATTTTGTCCACAGTCGTTATTCTGTAACGTTTACCATATTTGTTGACTGGAATGAATGGACAGGTTACATCACACTGTCCTGTGCTCATTCTCCATACGTTGTTGATACATGCCTGTTAATCCACATGTGACGAAGTATTTGTCTCTTTTTTTGTTTTTTTGTTTTTAACTTTCGTCACAAAGCGTGGCAGGATTTCAGAGAGTTCAGCCATGCCTGATAACTAGGATCTCCCGCACTGGACATGCCACGTGCTCCGACATGAATGGCAAGTGAGGCAATCTTTTCAGTTGGCTTAATGAAAATACAAGCTATTCAACACATGCAGTTATGCACAACATTTGATTGTAGGGTAAATTCAG